CTTTTGTGAGAAATTCTTTTTCATGTACATTTCAGAATTAAAATTTGATCATTTGCAGTACTTAGTCATAGATGTAATGTCATTAAGATGCAGCATCTTAATGTACTGTCAAATAAAATCTGCAACATGACTTTTTGTTTGACAGTACCATCCCTCTACTCACTCGTATAATTATTTCTTTGGGATTTTCTAAAAGAAATTAATTTATAGATTGAAATGCACACAATTTCAGCATACTTAACGGGAAAGAATTTGACAAAAATTGCCATCTTTTATTTGACAATTCATACTGATATAAGAGTAATTTATCCCAGTATATTTTTCAGAGGGTCTTTGAACCTTACACTCCCTACAAAGTTGCTTCCATGTTTAGGACAAACGTGGGATTTTCATTATTTTTTATATGCTTGGAATATTTTAGAAAATTAAGAAGTCTGGAAGTGACACAGTTTATCAAAAAACTGCTTTAGAGTCGAACAATTTTAATATACATTACATTTCAGTGATCTGAAATTTTCTCTTAGTTTTTAACAAAAATTAGGAAAACTATTTGGTAAGAATTATTTTACTGGGAGATTCTATAGAGATATATTTTACAAACATTTCAGAAACACTTGGAATTTTTAACTTCAACAGGGATTTGCCTTGCGTTAAAGGATTGGCGAGCATTATTCTTGACATTGAAAATTCTGCAGAACTGGGTTCTAAAATATTATGGATGGAAATTAAAGGCATGTAATAGTAATTTACATGAAGTAGTTTCAATTTTTCAAACTAATTTTTACATTTTTAAAGTTCAATGTATTTCATTTCTCTTTTAGGACGTTCTCTGCAATTACTCTGTGGTGACAGCATAGAGGACGTGCAATTGGAGCCAAAACATTTTGAAACAGAGGAGCGAGAGGAATCTCTCTCAATTCCTATTATCGTAGGTCCATTTGTTGGTGCTCTACTTGTGGTGGTTGTTATTTTATTCATCTTCAAAAGGCAGTTAGTCAAGTTAAATACTCTGGTTCTGTCAAAATTATCAAACAAAAAAATAAAAATAAAAATTAGTACAGACATGCATGGAAATCAAAAACCACAAAAAGGTAAAAAAAAAAAAAAAAAAAAAAAAAAAAAAAGAATCATATAAATGAAATCATGATTCTTCGTCTGAAAATTACTTAAAACATATTTCTTATTCACAGAAAAAAATCTCAGATTATCTTGAAAAACGAAGAAAAACATGACCTAGATGTGTTTGTCAAACCCACATCAATAGGTCTGGAACAAGATGGGGTTTGTCGCAATGAAACCAATGTACCCGAAATCAGGGAAGGACTCTACGATGCGATGGACAAATCAAGGTACAGTTCTGCTGCTTATTTTCCAAACGTACAATGTGCAAGCGCTGGAGATCGCGAAAAAATATCTGGACAGAGTGAAACTATTCAGACAAAACCTCATCAAGTCATAGGAGAGGTAACGGGGGATGTGTATGTCTCTGTTTGTAAAAGAGACAATCTAGAAGGCAGTCGAATTACTGGTCCAAAAGGAGACATCTACACGACTGTTTCCATGGCATCAAAAGCAAAGTCATTGATTGATTGATTGTATGTTGCTTTACGTCCTGTTAGAGAATTTTTCACTCATATAGAGAACTTTTAAGTTATATGCGAAATAATTTCGGATCAGATTGTGAATATAAATTCATGTTTGTAAACTAGGAAAAATTATTTTTGTTCATGATTGTTAGGAATGCAAGTTAAACGTGTAAAGTGGATTACAACCGCAAGTGTGACAATACTCAAAGAAAATATCGTGATAAATTTGTCAACTCAATTTAAGGATTTAACGTTATAAGTTAATTGTGCAGATTTTTAAGTACCTCTTTACAACTTTTTGGTGTGGAGTGAGGTGTCATTAGTTCAGAATAAACTTCTAAAGCTCGGTTAAAACAAACTCTCAGTTAATTTTAGAATAAGTCTGTTTGTAATATGGATTTACTAGTAATTATCTGGGATATGCTCGTCATTATAGGTAAATATTAATGAGAAAAAAAACTTGTCTAGATGAAGTCGAAAAACCTTAAAAAGAATAAGTAATATAAAAATTCAGTTAAATATGATTTATAGGCTGTGTAACCCAATGCAAAGCGAATTATGCACAGCATACACCATGGACAGGCATGTGCTTTCTAAAAATACCTTGAGAACCACCACAACATAAAGTGTGGTCTTGGTTAAATGATTTACATACAATGTAGCTAGTCAAGATATGGGATATGGACTTGTCGAACCCAGTCAGATTTCGACGGACAAAAGTCAAACAGGTCAGCTTGTCGTGTTAGAGAAAGATCCATGCATAGAGAATCTTACAAAAGAATCGTATAGAATTTAGGCTCTGACAGTAAATGGCAACAAGTATATATGCACAGGTCACCTTTTTCATGAGCACTTTACATGTAAACTCTATATCATCTTTATATACTACATTAATTCACTTACATGTACCTCTTCGTACATAATGGTCCACATGGTCACAAAAAAATCTTTTACTATCTCTTCCTGTTCATAGCTGCAGTCTGAACGTCCTCTATTCATGCATATCTACGATTTTTTTTTACCCTGTTGCTTATTAATTTTCATCCTCTTTTTCGTTCTGAAGATTTTGCTAACATTTATTGCAATCCTTTTCATGTTAAATTGCTAAATTGCGACCTCATCCTTAAATCATATCTTCTATATCTCTTCTTTCTCTACTGTCTTTTAAAGTGTGTCGCTTTATTTTTGTCCAATGTAATTTATAGTTATGCTTTCTCATTTTTGTTGATTAGTGCCTTATTTTTCTTCTTCTCTCTATATCTATCAAACATTGTGTAAAGGTTAATCATATGGTTGTTTCGAATCTTTTTTTTTCACTTCATACAAGTATGTTCTTTAATCTTTGGGAGATTTACGTTCATTTCCTGTCATTTTCTGTTTTGCTTCGTCTGTAAGCTTGTCTGTCTTTTAATGCATATCAGTTGATTGTAAGCTTATGACAGTAAAGGTCAAGGTTCTCTATTTTGAATGGCAATCCCCAATTTATTTTCATCTCATTTGTCTAACAGGAAGGAACAGATTTGATATAATATTGAGCTTTTTGAAAGCCTATTTTGATTGTGAACCATTAACTTGTTTATTCCTCCTGCACTGCATGGGTTTTCAAGGGTCTGATCTATCAATTAAATTGAATGTTTTCTCTAAATATGTGATTTCAAATGACATATAATAACGAATTCCACTCGATATTTATTTTATTAATTATTATAGAGTTTAAAGATGAACATAATTGGTAAAAGGAAATCTATCTTTAGCCGGCCATATTTCTCCTCATTTCCTTTTGTTTCTGGATCCCCTGTATAAGTTTCTATTGATCACGGTTCAGTGTAATACGTCCTGTATTGCCATTGTAAAATAATCGGTGGCGACAAAAATATCTAATATGTGCTTCTTCCAAGATAGAAGAATTTTTTTTTAACAATTTAAAACCTGCTGAATTGCTTATCTAAAACCAGATAATGACAAGACTGCTTTCATTTCTTCTCAAATAGGGACGGGGAGCATTTTAAAATTAGACGTATGTGAACAGTGAGCTCACAAAATGATACTTCCGCTCTTATATGCGAATAATGGGAAAGTCCATTTTTTGCAATGGTAAAGCTAAAATACTCGTCCGATCAAAACATAAAGTAGGAGGTACACAATGGCACTATGTTATAAAGATTCTGTGAGTCTCATTAAATTTTATTCAGTGATATCGGAGGAGTTGCGGATAAAAAAGACCCTTCTCCCCCGACAATTAAATTAGAAAGAATGGTAGTGTCCATGTTTTGCTTGGGAAACTTGAAATATGTGCCTGCTCAAAAAGTAAAGTAGGAGCTCATAATGGCTCTATGTAATAAAGATTCTGTAAAAGTCTCATTAAATTTTATTCATTGGTATAGGAGGAGTTGCGGATAAAAGAATGGGAAAAGCATAGAGACGGATGGACGGAAGGACACCCCCATCATTATGCACCCCCGCTTTTCAAGAATGGGGTATAAAGAGATAGAGATGTTAAAAACAAAATAAATGTACAATGTTGTTCATTTTTTAGGATTTTAAGTTATTATTTCCTTTCTCAGCAAAGTATCTATTTCCTTTAATTTCCTTCCGTTCGCAATTATTGTTATAATCTGGGATGTCACCAATTTATATAAAGCCTGAGAAGCTTAGTTGAATCTTATAATTTCATTTCATCCTCCATAAAGTCTATTCTTAGTCACAAATATGGATTTATTCATCTGGATTATTTTCATAATTGGTAGGCATTGATAAAAGAACATTTATTTATTTATTTATTTATTTATTTATTTATTTATTTATTTATTTATTTATTTCTCATCAATTTAAGAGGAATCTCTAAAATACAGTGAAACATAAATTGTAGTTTGTGTCTCTCATTGCAAACCCAATAACCTGCATCACACAGAATGTACTCCAATGGACAGTCTTAGTCGCAGTATTAACTACCACAAGATAGAGTGTAGTCCTGATGAAAGGATATACATAGCTCGACAAAATATGAGATATGGAGGAAGCATACTCAGTCTTTATAAGACGGACGAAAAGTATTGCTTACAGTATGATAACATAACATCAGAAGAATGTTTGCGGTCAATTCCCGCTGATTTTGATGGAGATTTTACGTCATATTTCAATATATTTCAAAAGTGTAATCGCATGAGGATGTGCACTCTGACTTATAATGACTATTACTATTCAGTAGTAAAATTTCTTGCGTCATGTGGACTCAAAGGAAGCATTTTTCAAAAGGTTCGCAACATGGCAAACTACGAATGTTTAGCAAGTAAGAGAATTTCCATAATTTTTTTTCGATTTGTTTTTTTTAAGATGAAAGACTAATACTTTCTAATTATATCTGTTTTGATAAATTGCTTTCATTCAAATCATACCTAAAGATGTTGTCCACGTCGGAAACAATATCACAGTCAATGTACCAGGAACTGTGAATCTAGTAGTGAGTGCAAAGACAAGGTGCCGTGTCAAAGGAAAGATTAATGCATCACGAATCTTGGAGCAGACCAGTGTAGAATTAAGGATCAGTCATAGCAGCAACCAGATTTGCACAGGTAACCCTGGTTCTTAGAAACAACAATTCCAGTTTCCAAGAACCCTCACGTATACCTTACTTCTTCGTTCATATGACACAAAGTCTAAGCAATGTTTCGTTATCCGCCTCACTACCACCCCTACGAAACTCGACTAAGATTCTCTCTCTCTCTCTCTCTCTCTCTCTCAATGTTCTCGACCATACTTAATGCTCTCGACCCCCAATTTCTGAAGAAAAAAATATGGAGACTTGGTAAATAGTTTGGTGGATTTTACTTGATGTTATTAAGGATCTGTAATCATCTTGAAATCTGGATTCTAATTTCCATTTTCTTCTGTTCGTCCTTCCTTCTCTTGTTATTTTCATTATTCAATACTAATATTTTACCCACATTGTGGATGAGTAGCTTTACACATTTCAGCTGTATTTTTCGGTAACTATTCAATCAAGTCTTCTTTATGCAGAATAGCACACCTGAAGATGATGTACATAAATGTAGATCTTCTTTTTTCAGCATCTTCAATGCTTCTTCGTGCTCCAGACACTCGGTATATGGGCGGTTATCTAATCAGCCCAAAGTACTGATAAGAAAGCTTTCTTTCATGATGGACTGCGTTACATATAGGGTCGACTTAAAACATTATTCAATCGAATACCCCCTTCTTTCTGAATCATGCTTGTGCATTGTGTGGTAAGGCATGACTTTTCCTCGCTCAATCATGCTTTAAGAATCCTCCGCTTAATTCCTCACTCAGATACACATCTTTTTTTTCAATGTATATGCATATTCAATAGTTTCTATATCAAATTAGCTGAAGAAGTAATCCAAATCAACTTAAAACTGGTTTATGTAAATGATTTCTATCATTTTACAGAGAAATCACATTTTATATTTTAGTTTTATTGAATATAGTTTGAACTATTGAATAGTTTCTACACAAATAGCTAGAGAGATAATTCAGATGAACTTAAAACTGGCCTTTTTAAATGATGTCTATCTTTTTACAGAGAAATCACAGTCTGCTACCAGTTCAAATAATTTAAGAAATAATATTTTCGAAATATTATATTCATTTGTATTACCATTATCATTCGTGAACAATGAAAGTAAAATACAAAGGAAAGGAAACGCTTAACTACTAGAATAAAGATGAAGATACAAGGCCCAAAATTTGTGTAATATCTTATTGTGTGTAAATTGCTTTAAAATATGTAGCAATTCTAAAACACTGAAAATGGAGTATAAATTTTCATCATTATAACAGAATGGAGTGGTGCATTTCATTACAATAAGGATTTGGCCTGTTTAGAAGGACTAGATGACATTTTAATTGACGTGGATGTCAGGCAAACTAATGCATCAACAATTCTATGGATTGAAATAATAGGTACTTCAAAACAAAAGATGCACGCATTATCTGCAATCTTGTAATACATCGCTTGCAATTCGATTCTTAATTAAATGTTATATATGTAATATTATATGTGAACTCTCTTCACGTGCAGGGGGTCATCTGCAGATAGACTGCAGAGAAGATCAATTTTCTGACAACCCTCTAGCTGGGAAATCTAGCAGGATTCTCATCTTTATACTTGGAGGAGTGGTTGTTGCACTGGTAGCTGGGGCAATCGTTATTGTCGTGTTCATCAAAATGTAAGTCTAAAAAGTAAGAGAATTAACAGGAACAAATAATTTTTGAAGAATGTTTGAAATTGGTAATAATATGTGTGTCGGTCATTTCATATGAACAACATTTTGCCATGGTTATATAATTTTGAGAATATCAAAAATATATCAAATTTCATTTAATAGGAAATTCTGTAAAAGATCTGATCTAAACAAACTTGATACAGACGAGAAAGTCATACCCACGAGCACATTAAATCCTAAGCATAGCGTCCGTTATGGTGAGAATCAACGTCAAAGTAAAGACTCTGAAAAACAAACGATTGGTTTTATGTCAAATTGTGCAATTTCAAACACTGATATGACAGAGACCTTAGTTCCGGTGCAGGATGGGAATTATTCCTTAATCAATGCTTCAGATTTTGGGGGAGAAAATGACAGAGTGAAAGATAGCAACACTGATACGACAGAAACTTCACTTCCGGTACAGGATGGGAATTATTCCTTAGTCAATGCTTCAGATTTTGAGGGGGAAAATGACAGAGAGAAGGATAGCAACACTGATACGATAGAGACCTCACTTCCAGTAAAGGATGGTATTTATTCTTTAATCAATGCTTCAGATTTTGAAGGAAAAAATGACGGAATGAAAGATAAATGTTTTGACAAAGAAAATACAGCAGAGTACATCACAAAACAGAGTGATGCTGTCAACACAGTTACTAATCAGATCATTGGAGAGGTGACGGGGGATGTGTATGCCTCTATTTGTAAAAGAGACAATCTAGAAGACAACCGAATTACTGGTCCAAAAGGAGACATATACACAACTGTTTCCACGACGTTAAAAACAAAGTGAATGTCTTGAAATTTGGAGTGGGAATCTAGGCTCTTAAAGAGGTTTAGATCGATGAAAGAAGGCAAAAAAGAAAAAAATCTAAATATGTTTTATTTAGAGAAGTCATTTTTGTACCTATACTAAATCCAAGTGTGCAGAGAATTGGGGATAGTATAAAATATAGTTTCTAAACTTTTTAAAGATACATTTTGATAGAAAAATATACTTGACCCCTGTAACAGAGTTAAGTTGATTATTAAAGATTAAAACTATCATTCAGTTAAGATCTCGTAAATGCAGTAAAAAAATACTTGAGCAGGAGGACAGCATTGTGTACATATACTAATAGTTTTACGCTATGAAATCCTTTTTTAACACAAAGGCGTTGTAGTCCAGCTAGTTTCACATATTAGTCGAAACGGTATCACATGTGGACAATTGATGTCTTTCCATAATAAGGATGACCGAAATTTCTGTTTACCAACATAATCGTGTATAAGATGTTCACGTATCTTAGAATACATGTCAAAGTAAGTGATAAGTGATGAAATTTTTTTTTTGAGAATGTAATGAAATATATTTTGGAGTTTTATGATGAAATAAAATCTATGAGGAAGTACATTGCAGACCATGTTAATTTTTAAATATTATTGATTTGCAAGATCTTATGTATCAGATACTATATTCCTATAATATTGAAATTAAGTGTGTGTAAATGAATAATAGTAGTAACATTGAATTGAAGAAAAAGTCCCCTTTCGGATTGAAGGAAGAAAATTTTAAAATGAAGCGTTCTTACACACGTCCTGTAACATACACTAATTTCATTTTACAGACAAATTACCTGTTCACGATTTGCAAAATGATACTATACAGCACGAATTGTAAAAATCATCACCGAAGTCGCATAATTTCATGATGATGTTGAAAAAGAAAGATGATTTTGTGAGAAATAACAAAATGTCGAATAGGAACAGTGAAAATTGGATTTTTAAAAATCATCAATTCAAAAATCGTATCTGTTAGGAAAACTTACTGTACACGATTTCTAAAGGATATAAAATCACTTGTATCGTATTTCAGACTTTTAACAAAAAGGGTTATGCTCATGTAGATTTTTAAAACTTTTTTTATTAAAAGAAATATATAATATGCTACTGGATTTCATTAGATGCTTTTAATTATCATTGAAAATTGAAATAGTAAATAAAAATTCAAAAGCAACAAAAACGAAAAAAAAAGCTTACAAGACATGCGCATCACAAATACTTTACTATTACTAGAACGACAGTTTTCCTGCATTGTATGACTCCAAAAGTGGAGCAACAATAAATGTTTACGAAACAACTATGATCCAAGGAAGTCCTTAGCTTAGTTTGTGACGGCCGTAAACAAATATGATCCAAGGAAGTCCTTGGCTGAGTTTGTGACAGCCGTAAACAAATATGATCAAAGGAAGTCCTAAGCTTAGTTTGTGACGGCCGTAAACAAATATGATCCAAGGATGTCCTCGGCTGAGTTTGTGACAGCCGTAAACAAATATGATCCAAGGAAGTCCTTAGCTTAGTTTGTGACAGCCGTAAACAAATATGATCCAAGGATGTCCTCGGCTGAGTTTGTGACAGCCGTAAACAAATATGATCCAAGGAAGTCCTAAGCTTAGTTTGTGACGGCCGTAAACAAATATGATCCAAGGAAGTCCTTGGCTGAGTTTGTGACAGCCGTAAACAAATATGATCCAAGGAAGTCCTAAGCTTAGTTTGTGACGGCCGTAAACAAATATGATCCAAGGAAGTCCTTGGCTGAGTTTGTGACAGCCGTAAACAAATATGATCCAAGGAAGTCCTAAGCTTAGTTTGTGACGGCCGTAAACAAATATGATCCAAGGAAGTCCTTGGCTGAGTTTGTGACAGCCGTAAACAAATATGATCCAAGGAAGTCCTTGGCTTAGTTTGTGACGGTTAATTATTGCCGTCGGCAAATGAAGCAAATCACACAAATTGTGGTGCTTTAACCAAGTATGCAACTCGCATGAAGTAGCAACATCAGAGGTAGCCCCTCGAGTCGCTCAGGAATCAAGAGTTTTCATAAATATGAGAGAATAACCATGAATTATCTTCCTTATTTGACCAGAATTACAAAAGCATTAGGGAAATAAACATTAATGATGCAATATGATGGATTGTTTTCTTTTCGAAATAGATTTAATTATGTAATATATTGAATAATATTTTTATCCACAAATAGTACACCATTCTGTGCCAGTCTTAACTTTAGGCACCATAATAATGTATATTTTTAAAATTAAATAAATTGAAGCTAATTAATATTATTTCTATGAAACTGTTTACACGATTTAATTTTCGGAATTTCATACTATCATCCCCTCTCTTCTGTTTTTTTAAGCAGAAGTAACGTATATGATTGTATCATTTATCAAATGTACCTGATAGACGAGACAATAGTTTATCAAATATACCTAATATACGAGATAATAGTTTATCAAATATACCTAATAGGCGAGACAATAGTTTATCAAATACACGTAATACACGAGACAATAGTTTATTCTCAATAAAAATGGAACTCGTAAATTAACTTATCTTGTCAGTGGTCATTTGCAAAATTATTTTGTTAAAAAAAAACATTCTAATTGTACTCTGAAGTAGATTTTAAAAAGATGCTTCTGATTGACATTATCTATGCAGTTCTTGGAGATCGGGTTTACCAACAATCTGTCGGAATTACCATGGTACTAATTGGCCCCGTTATTAGCAGACTTATTTGTGCATTCATATGAAGCAGAATTTATTCAAAAACTTATACATTAGAAGAAGACACTCGCTGCGGCCTTCAACTCGACATTTAGATATATTGACGACGTATAATCAATTAACAATAGTTACTTCCATTCATATGTCGACTCCATATATCCCAGTGAACTTGAAATAAAAAAATGAGTCTGACACACCTGATTCATATCTTTATGATAAACGTGATAACTTCAATTTTTCTATCGTCAACTTCCCTTACTTATCTAGCAATATACCCTTATCACCTGCACATGGGGTTTACATCTCCCTGTTCATTCGATACGCAAGAGCATGCTCCACGTACGAACAAATTCTAAAACAAGGCAAGCTATTGACAACAAGTTGATGAAACAAGGAAATCAACAGTTTCGTTTAGAGTCATCATTTCGTACGTTCTATGGTCGATACAATGACCTTGTCAACAAAAACAATCTATCACTAAGTCGAATGCTTACTGACCTTTTTCATACTAATTGTTAGGCCATTATTTAAACACCGAATTGTCTAAGGATTTTTCCGTTTGCCCGATCATGACAATGATCACAAGGCGATTGTAAACCGGTTCACAGGGGATGTTTACTCCGCCATAGCATCTGATCCCGCCTCTGATGTTTTCAGAGGCGCGTGTTTACTCTGCTCCCGATTTGTATTCTTTCAATGGACTTTTGAGCTTGATTGCTGTTCGTTATCACCATATTTCATCTCATAAACTGTAACTTCAGTGTAGAGAGGATATTATAAACATGAGATATTTACAATAAAGCATGTGTGAGGAAAAAAAATGAAAAAAAGCAGTAAGTCATAAATCAATAGAGCTAACTCTCTCATTACGATCCCAATAAGTTTGCATTGTTTAATCAATTTGATTTGTATACATATAATAATATTTGGACGAACATGCGAGTCTAGAATTCTTAATGTCTGGATCAGTGCATTGAAATAAATAATGGACTTCGTCTCCAACTTCCTTATATGAACACAAGTGACAAACTCCGTTTTCTCTTGCAATATTATACCATCTTCCTGACTGCATGAATATGTACTGTTAGAGTGTGTTAGGAGATATTACTCACATTAAAACAGTGTACATTTTTTCTGAGATAAGTGATCCATCACGAACATCCCAGCGACAGGAGAATACCACTTGATTGGCGTTTGTTCATAATATTGTAAATTTGCTATTATACTTTTGCGATGGAGAGTGCAAATTTTTGAAATAATTTAAGGTGTGACTTGTACACTGCAAACAACGGAGCGACAAAAAGTATCCAGGAACTCTTTTTATATAGTATCATCTATCGAATTTGAATAAAAACTGCTTGTAACCATGCATATACATATGACAGATTTATTATCTGGCCATGCCGTCAACACAATGATATTTTTCAATTGCAACAATATTGGGAATATAAGATAATACTCAGATACTAGTAAATGCGATTTACTGCTTCTCTCTCTCTCTCTCTCTCTCTATATATATATATATACTTGTGTAAAAAAAAAAAGTCAATGTTATATAAGTACCAAGTCATTACAGTAAAATACATGTATCTTGCATTGAAAACTATATAATTATAAACAATGTGACAGTGGTGGAAAATAAATGTAATTTAAAAATGCACTTGTTTTTTGTACTCACATAAGAAATGCATCTTTTTTGTTCGGGAAAAGCTCATTTTATCCTTCAGTTCCTTGTCATAATCTGCAATTCTTTACTTCCTCTTACTTCTCTTTGTAAATATGGAAATTATTTTTATTTTATTTAGTTCTCTGGGTAAGTTTTGAATTATTTGATATCTGTTTTCTGTCTAAGTCAACAAAAATGTACGTGTGTAATTAATATGAATGAATATTATTGATAATTACATATCAATTTTATAGGATGGTCAGCTGTTTGCAACAGCGAGGAACTGTGGCATACTGAATGTTTATCACAGGAATTATTAGGTCGCAAAAAGCACAATATAGCATGTGCTTCGAATAAAAAGATATATATAACTACACAGTTTATAAAATACGAAGATCGATCACATCATCAAAAAGACGAGGAGCAGTGCCAGAATTCCACTTCAGCAGAATGTTTTCGTTCTTTTCCTTTGGAAAAGAGAGTGGATTTTACATTATATTTCAACGTATCCCAAATCTGTAATCGTGCTAACAAATGTGATTTGACCCCACGTGATTACTATAAGTCTGTGATTGAATTCACAAAATCCTGTAAGTGCTGCACAGATCGGACGAAGTTTCCAAGAATACGGTTTATTTTGTATTTTGAGTGTTTGTCAGGAGGTAAAGTTTTTTTTCTTTTCACGATGTAATTTACCTTATGAACTCTGGGGGAAAAAAATCATGATCATTTTCTTTCCTCACATTTGAATAATGGGAGCAATTGTTGATATTTTTGTTCAATATAGTGCGTTTTCCTTGGCTAAGAGTAGAAAAAAAGGATTTATATTGTACCTAAGCAACCAGTTGCATCACAAATGATGTTTTATGTTTATTTTGATTAGTAAGTCAATATGTTAAAAGTTAAATTGTTTCTCTTTTGCAGCTGAATATAACGTAGATTTATTAAGAAATTTGACGGGTAAAAAAGAAGGTTCCTTATATCTAGCGTCAACAAAATCTAATAAATGCAGCATAAACGGACAGATTGAGTCGGCCAGGATCTTGGAGTAGGCCAAGATAAAACTGTCCATCATGACTCAAAACAACCTGAACCGCTGTTCTGGTGAGACACCTAGTAAACTTAGAAGGCTAGTAACAATTGTGTAATAGATGAAGAGACTGAGATATGTTGTAGTAAAGTTGTCTAATACATATAATGATTCTTACTAGGAAAAATGAACCGACACCTAATTACATCTGAAGTTTTAAACATATTAATCTCGGATTTGTATATGATTTTCCTTCCTAACTTGATTTTTTATGCAGTTACAATATCTTTTTATTTACTGCACCTACTGCTAGTGTTGAATATGATTTATTGTTTTAGCGAAATATGTGTTCATTTTCAAGAAAATTTAATCGAATTAAAAAGGTATGTTTTAAAATTTTGTTTATCGTCGATGCAGACTCCTTTAGAATAACATGTTTTAGGTAATACCATCCGTTTTTTGTCTGTCGGCGTTCGTCGTGCGTTAACATTTGAACATTTTCTTCTCTGAAACTGCTGAACCAATTTCAACCAATTTTCAAACATAGCATCTATGGATAAAGGGGAACAAACATTGTGAATTGTAAATTCCCTGGTCCCTGACCCCCTGGGTCCTGAGGGGTGGAGCTAAAACTACCAAAATTAATGCAATCTTTAAAAATCTTCTTTACTCCTGGACATCAAGCAGTCAAACAGGTGTCATGATTGAAATAAGCATTGAGCCCTCTACCAAGATTGTGACATTCGTGGCCACAGGGTCAGGAGTTCTAGTGCTATGGGCGGGGCTATACAGATTATATAGTGAAAGTGCATTATTTCTTCTCGTCTAGCTCCTGGGTATTCAGGAAACTAATTAATTACATAGTTATGATGAGCAAGGGTGTCTCTTTCAAAGTTATGAATTTCATGGCCCCTAGGTCAGGGGTTCTGGTGTTAGTGCGGGGCTCTAATGATTTTATAGTGAAAATGCAGTAATTCTTTAAAAATCTTCACCTCTGCTCATGGATATGAAGCCGGTGAACTAAGTACATAATTTGATGAGGAAGGGTGCCTCTCCCAAAATTGTGAATTTTATGCCCCCCTGAGTAAGTGGTTCTGGTGTTAGGGCAAGACTCTAATGATTATATAGTGAGAATGCATTAATTCTTTGAAAATCTTCTCCTCTGCTCCTGGGATTTAATCCTGCATGGTTATGACGAGGAAGGGTGCCTCTTTCAAAGTTGTGAAAGATGTGGCCCCAGTGTCAGGGGTTCCGTTGGGAGGGGTGGGTTGGGGGCTTATTATACACTAAAAATGAATTAATCTTTGAAAATATACACCTCTGCTCCTTGGTATTAAGCAAACAAACTAAATGCATAGTTCTGATGAGCAAGGGTGCCTCTTCCAAAATTGTGAATTTCATGGCCCCTGGGTGAGGGGTTCTGGTGATTATATAGCAAAAATGCATTAATGCTTCGAAAATCATCTCTTCTGCTCTAAAGTATTAAGCAAACGAACTAAGTAATATAAATGTGAATGTAGAAATATAATTATAAGTAAATCTGCCTTTTCTTTGTTCCATGGTATCTAAGAGGCAAACAAAGTATAAAATTGTAATAAGTCAAGCAAATGATGAAGCAAATGAGAGTAACTCTCTTTTGCTAAATTATTTTAATCAAGAAACCCTAGTATAATTTAATTAACAGGTTATTTGATTGAATGAGAATACAAGAAAGAATGCTATATATATAGAAACAAACTAGAAATGAATGCTTGGTGTAACTCTTTACAACTAACTGAACTGTGACGCAACATACACTTATGTTCACGTCATAGAAATATGACGTAACCTTTTCCCCGCAAGCCCTTTATAACGAGGTACAATTTTCTCTAAAGTTTAGCGAAAATAATTATGACCGTAATATTTTAATAAGATTATAACTTTTCTTATTTTATCAGATTTTAGCAAGTATAAATTAGAAGAAAATTGGCATTAAATTGAAGATTCAATTTACTTTTGAAAGTGCGTGATTGTGGGGAAACGGTATATGCGTGATTTTGCGTTGGAAATAGGAAATGGTACATGCGTTAAAATGCGTAACTGCGAGGAACAGGGTTAAAGCATGCTCAAAATCAGATTCTTGCATATAAAGCAATATAAAAGTTTAACATAAAGATTATTTATATAGCAAAAGGACCAATGTACTGTAGTGAACTGTTTGAAAATTGACAGGTAATGTGATGGTTGGCAAGAGACTGGATAAAGTTGTTTTATACTTTATCAAAGTGAACAAGTGATCACAGAGAGCCAGGATGACAAGGGGACATGTTGTAGCTAGTGACAAGTAGCATATAGCCACGTTATATAGCAAAGTCTCTTTTTGTGTACTTGATTATAGCACTAGGCAAGTGACAAAAACATACGAGTTAATTCTTTTTTATTCTTCTATGAATCCTTTACAGTGTTGTTTTATACTCAGGTGACCGTTAAGGCCCTTGGGCGTCTGGTTATCGGATGAGATCAATGCAGCAAAAAAAAAGTTACTTCTGGTCCGCATTGCAATTTAAAATACTGCGATAAATGAACTCACTCGAAAACTAAAATAAAAACCATTATTACATGTAGTTTTCATGACATCGAACGAAAGTGTAATCTTTACTTCACCGTGTGGTCATGACAGTTTAATTTTCCATTTCAAAAGCCTCCGACAACGGTACTGTAAAGGAACTTATCGTATTCCTGGCCCTGGTTTTGGTACAGTTTGTGGACAAACACTGATGTCCCTTTCCTGCTTTCCTATAAGCGTCTTACTGGAGTAGTCTTTTATGAAAAATTCTTTTTCATGTGCATTTCAAAATATGATCATTTGCAGTACTTAGTCACGGATACAATGTCACTGAGATGCAGCATCTTTATGCACTATCTCTCTGTTCACTCGTATAATTTTTTCTTTCAGATTTTTCTAAAAGAAATTTAATTTATAAATTAAAATGCACACAATTTCAGCATACTACAGGGGAAAGAATTTGACAGAAATTGCCATCTTTTATTTGACAATTCATACTGATATAATAGTAATTTATCTCAGTATATTTCTTCATCAGGTCATTGAATCTTAAACTCCCTACAAAGTTGCATCCATGTTTAGGACAAACGTGGGATTTTCATTAATTTTAATATGCTTGGTGTACTTTAGAAAATCGAACAATTATAATATACATTACATTTCAGTGATCTGAATTTTTCCCATAGTTTTTAACAACTTTAGGAAATATATTTGGTGAGAATTATTTTACTGGGAGATTCTATAGAGATATATTTTACAAACATTTCAGAAACACTTGGAATTTTCAACTACAACAGGGATTTGCCTTGCGTTAAAGGATTGGCGAGCATTATTCTTGACATTGAGACTTCTGCAGAACTGGGATCTAAAATATTATGGATGGAAATTAAAGGCATGTTATAGTAATTTACATGTAGTAGTTTCAATTTTTCAAATGAAATATATGGAGAACTAATCTTTACATTTTAAAGGTATTTCATTTCTCTTTTAGGACGTTCTTTGCAGTTGCTCTGTGGTGACAGCATAGAGGACGTGCAATTGGAGTCAAAACATTTTGAAACAGAGGAGCCAGAGGAATCTCTCTCAATTCCTATTATCATAGGTCCATTTGTTGGTGCTCTACTTGTGGTGGCTGTTATTTTATTCATCTTCAAAAGGTAGTTAGTCAAGTTAAATACTCTGGTTCTGTCACAATTATCAAACAAAAACAAATAGAAATTAGTACAAACATTAATGGAAATGAAACACCACAAAAAGGTTTTTAAAAAATATATATGAAATCATGATTCTTCGTCTGAAAATTACTTAAATAATATTTTTGTTCACAGAAAAAAATCTCAGATTATCTTGAAAAACGAAGAAAAACATGACCTAGATGTGTTTGTCAATCCCTTATCAACAGGTCTGGAACAAGATGGGGTTTGTCATAATGAAACCAATGTACCCGAAATCAGGGAAGGACTCTATGATGCGATGGACGAATCAAGGGACAGTTCTCCTGCTTATTTTTCAAACGTACAATGTGTAGGCGCTGAAGATAGCGAAAAAATATCCGAACAGAGTGAAACTATTCAGACAAAACCTCATCAAGTCGTAGGAGAAGTGACGGGGGATGTGTATGCCTCTGTTTGTAAAAGAGACAATCTAGAAGACAGTCGAATTACTGGTCCAAAAGGAGACATCTACACGACCGTTTCCATGGCATCAAAAGCAAAGTGATTGATTGATTGATTTTATGTTGTTTTACGTCCTGTTAGAGAATTTTTCACTCATATAGAGAACTTTTAAGCTATATGAGAAATAATTTCGGATCAGATTGTAAATATAAATTCATGTTTGTAAACTAGGAAAAATTATTTTTGTTCATGATTGTTAGGAATGCAAGTTAAACGTGTAAAGTGGATTTCTTGATCATTCTACCGAAATGTAAATTAGGTCAGGAGCAAAGGTAGCCTAATATGCATGTAAATCTCGTGCGTCTGTCTTTGTGCCGACGCTAAGGAGGCCTAATATGCATGTACATCTCGTGCGGCTGTCTTTGTGTTTGACGTCACTGGGCGGGGACTATTGAAATTGACATGGGAGGCCTCGTGTAATTTAAATCTATCAGTCTACATTTTTAAAATCTAAATTTACAATTTTATTTTACAATGAAATGGAAATATAAGGAATCACTGTCTAGTTAGTAGAATATGCCAGGGACATCAACGATAGTTGGAAACGTGGGATAATTTATGCATAATGGGCTTCACTAGACAGTGATGCCTTAAATAAGTCTATTAATAATATGTAGGGATGTCAATTTTGTCAATAATTCATATTCGAATATATAATGAAAGTATTCGAATATATTCGAATATTCGATAAAATAAATAAAATCTGGTTTACGGTATTTCAAATGTACATCATCATATTGCGTCAGTATTTGGAAGTAAAATTGGATGTTACCTTTTGCAGGTATACATTAAGGTCTTTAACATTTGATATTTGTCAATGGTTAAACTAAATAATTGATTCAAGTGTATACAAGCGAAATATAATTTTAACAAATGATATCTATACAAGCTCAAACTGACGAACCGGTCGTCTAACCAGGCAAGATTGTCTTTTACTCTTCAGATTTAAATATACACGTAATTAATTACAATTATCTGCTTAATAAAAGATATAATATAATATCTGATACAATGTTTTGACAATATCAACAAACACTTCCATAGACAATTTTCCTAGGTCATTAATTTCCCGATAATGATTTTAAAAATTTAAAATTAATATTCAACCCGAAATAATCAAGTAATTGATGCATTTTTCTGAAATTGAGCCCTTTGCAATATTGCAGGCTGATTTTATCAAAGATGTAATTCAATGATCAATAAAATTTATTTTCCTAAGCATACTCTTCACGTCTCTCAGACATTCAAGAAGGGTTTCATTTCGTTGTACTCGGTACCAGATCCGATCATTTTAAACTATTGAAAGTACTTTTTGTATAATACATTTATTTGATAATTCTTGTTTATTTCTTTTATACCTTACTCAAAATGAAAATGAAATAATTTAGAAGATCTATAAGATAAGAAAGTAGCGAAAGAAATCAGGGGATCGCTAGTAAATAAAACGGGGATAATTCCAGAACTATTCTAATTAAAATCTATTACCTTTCTGTGAAATCTGAAAAACACCGATTATTCGAATCTTAAATTCATATTCGAATATTAATTCATCAAATGAATATTCGAATGTTCGATTATTCGTTGACATCCCTAATAATATGGATTTACTAGTAATTATCTGGGATATGCTCGTCATTATAGGTGAGCATTTATGAGAGGAAAACTTGTCTAAATGAAATAGAAATACCTTAAAAATGAATTAGTAGAATATAAAGTTAGTTAAGTATGATTTATAGGCTGTGTATCCCAATGCAAAGTGAATGATGTACACCATACACCATGGACAGGCATGTGCTTTCTAAAATACCCCGAGAACCACCACAAGATAGAGTGTGGTCCTAATGAAATGACTTACATATCTCACCAAGAAATGAGAATTGGAGGTGTTACACCCAGTCAGATTTCGACGAACAAAAGTCAATGCTCAGAGTATAAGAACATACTAGTAATATCAAAAGAATGTTTACGATCAGTTCCTGTTGATTTTGAGGAAAATTTTACAGCATATTTCAATGCTTCCAAGAAATGCAATCGAGAGAGGATGTGCACCCTGACTTTTAATGACTATTACGATTCAGTAAAGGAATTTCTTCGGTCTTGTAGACTCAGGGAAAAATATCATTTTTCAAAATGTTCACATCTTGGCAAAGTACGAATGTATGTCCGATAAAAAAATTAAAATACAATATACAATAATTTCCTTTTGTAATTCTCCTTAAATAAATATTTATAAATTAATAACTTTTATTCGTTTTATAGCAAAAGCATTCATTCATATCGGAAACAATTTAACAGTCAAAAGACGATGGACTGTGTATCTAGTAGCCAGTAACAGGTCAGTTTGTCGTGTTAGAGGAAAGATCCATGCATCGAGAATCTTACAGAAGTACCATGTAGAATTAAGGATAAGTGATGGCAACAACTGGATATGCAAAGGTCACCTATTTCATGAGCACTACATGACAACTCTATATCATATGTATATTCTACCTTAATTCACTAATCTTCGTACAAAATGGTCCATATGGTCACAAAATTCTTTAACCATCTCTTCCTGTTCATAGCTGCAGTCTGAGCGTCCTACAAAATATCCATGCAACTCTACGGAGTTTTTTTTTTACCCTGTTGCTTATTAATTGTCATCCTCTTTTTCGTTTTGAAGATTTTGCTCGCATTTAATTATTGCAATCCTTTTCATGTTAAATCGCTAAATTGCGATCTTTTGCTAATATTATTTCTCTTTATTTCTCTATTGTCTTTTAAAGTATGTTTCTATTTTTTTCATCATTTCCTGTCATTTTCTGTTTTGCTTCTTCTGCAAGCTTTTAGTGCATATCAGTTGATTGTAAACTTGTGACAGTAAAGGTCAAGGATCTCTATTTTGATTTGCAAACCTAATTTATTTTCATCTCATTTGTTTAACAGGAAGGAACAGATCTGATATGATCTTGAGCTTTCTTGAAAGCCTGTTTTGATTGTGAATCATAACTTGTTTCTTCCTCGTGCACTTCATGGGGTTTAAAGGGTCTGATCTATCAACTGAATTGATTTTTTCTCTCTAAATACAGTATGTAATTTCAAGTGACATATAATAACGAATTCAGTTCGATATTTATTTTATCAATTATTCTAGAGGTTAAAGATGAACATAATTGGTAAAAGGAAATCTATCTTTAGCCAGCCATATTTCTCCTCATTTCCTCTTATTTCTGGAGCCCCTGTATAAGTTTTCTTGGTCACGGTTCAGTTAATTCGCAGTTTTCACATCTGTGGGCATGTCCTGTATTGCCATTGTAATATAATCGGTAGCGACAAAAATAATAATCCGTGCTTCTTCTAAGAAAGAAGAAAATATTCAAATTACACCAACTTCAAATGTTAGTGATTCCAGATACCTGCTGCCAAAAAGCAATCATCGAATGCAAAGGGGATATATCCCACTGCTGATATCGGAGATCGCAAAAACTAATATGGAGTATGGCTATTTACGAGTCATCTCTTAGCTGTAATATTGGTTTGCAAGTTCCCCTTTCTTCTTAAATCCTGGTTAATTATTCATTTGGCAACAATAAGACACCACTTTAGACATGTGTGCGATTTCTTATATTTACATGTAGCTTGTTTTGATTAACACAAATGAGGAATCGCTACGGAATTTAATATTCCATGCGGGATAACATATTAAAAGCTGAAAAACAGTTCGTTTGAGCTTTAAACTCACTGAAATTTTATATTTATTAAGATTTCAAGAGTTCTTTCTCTACTATTATTTTAAATATTTTCAAACTACATTAATTTTTTCTTGTAAGAAAAAATTATTTCTAGGCTTATTTTAATAACAATGCTAATGAAGAAAGGCTAAACTAGAATAAAGTTTCTAAAGATTCAAATACCTGAACTGATCATTTCATATTGCAAATCAACTGCTCGATTGATTGCATGTTTTTAACGTCCCATTCGAGAATTTTCCACTCATATACGGTGAAGGGCTTCAGTCAAATTTTGACCTTTACTCGGCAATCAGGGCTATTGAGTAGTGAGGGAAGTTTATCGTGTCAACGCCTGCCGTGACGCAGGGCCTCGGTTTTTAAGGACTCATCCGCAATTTTCACTTCAAAATGCTTGGCGAAGGAACAGTTGCTACTTATATTTTACCGACATAGGTCAGTCGCGGCCGGGATTCGAACCGTCGACCTTCCGATCACGTCAATTGCTCGAAAACGCAATAATTTTTTTTTTTTCGAAAATGAAAATCTTCTTTTTTGTTTCAGATTGGAATGGTGTATTTCAATACAATAAAGATTTTGGCTGTATCAAAAGGCTTGAAGAAATTTTCCTTGACATAAATACATGTATCAGCAAAATCCACTCATCACCCATTCTATGGATAGAAATAAAAGGTATTATATAAATTAAAATGAATACATATTACATACAGGTAAGATGAGAAAGATAATGCGTCAGGAATGCTGTACTATATTATCA